CTTTAATAATTTAATATAATCTAAAATCAGACCTGTGGGATAATTATTTTCAGGTCATATTAGCTTAATCCGATCCAGTTCATTATTACAGTCGCCTCTATCGGTTAGTCTAATGCATGTATAGTGACAGATTATTAAATATTAACCTTTGTTTTGTAACTATAGTTGAAGAATAAATTAAGGATAAAACCAACGTGTTGATTTCTTATATACATTCCTTCTTAGCTTCTCCCTTGATCTGATCACTAAAACTTCCAAAAATGGTCAGCAATTTCTCTTTCTCTATTTCCACTGTGAACATACCTTCACGATTACTTTTGTTAAGTAAGAACAATAAATGATCTAATCTATCCTTACCATGCTGCTATATTGCAAAAGAGTCGACCACAACTCTAACTAATGGTTCTTGTGCCCCACTTAGCTATTCCACGAAGCATTCCTCCTTTATTGGCATGTAATTATTCGCTAAAATGAGAGTCAAACACGACCCAATTGTCAGTTCTTGTACCTGGTCATAAAACTTATTGTTCAAGGTAATGTATGTGCTAATCATGGATAGATTAAGTAGTCTTAAGATTCGGCTTGTACTCAGATCTGCTACCTGAATACTATCTAGGTGTTAACCTAAATTGAGCGCTAATGCTTCAATATCCGGCTTACGATGGATGTTAGTATACATTGATACAATGAAACCAACCGAAATTTCCTCCTTTCTAATACTCTACAAATCTAACAAATTAATATGAATTCTCAAGAAAATATTTAAGTCACCCATTTACCTACACTGTCTGCATAAGAGCCATGAAATCCTATACATCACGTTTCCATTATTATTAGCAATCAATCTTAAGGGACCTCCTTCCTTGTGTATCTTTTGACTTCGATATAAGTAGTTGTCGAGACTATCAGTCCTTAATTAACCTTAAGCGCCCTTAAGTATGGTATTATCTGAAATTTAACGTATTGAAAAAAATTCCAGTGTTAGAGGAAAGTATGCTGAAAGCATACATAGAAACTTCAAAAATCGGTTCGAAATCACCGGAGCGTACTATAGATATTATCGAAGTTCCAGTCATTTCTTGTAGGAAGTGAATCCTACCAAATTGAAATCAATTCAAAGTCTACCTAGGCAGTTGAAATCAGGCAACCAATGATTTAATAAAAAACACTGAAAAAACTATGGACACAAATCGAGTTGATGTCACTTAAGCTGAATGAAAACTGTTCGCCTATGCCTCCCCGTGACAATAGAAGAATTTCGCCCAATAAAACTTCTGGATAAAATGATAAAAGTTAGAGGGGGCACAAAGGCTAAAATTAGATCAAATTGGTCCGAAAACTTATTTGTTTCGTTCGAGCGCAAAACTTTTAGCATCAAAAAATGTCCTGCTTAATCCAAGAAGTGCACATCTTATTTGTTTTAAGAGTCTAAAATTTGATACCATAATTTGGCTGTGTTCGTCCTGGGTAGATGAGTATCAATTTACCAGCCCATAACTATGCGAATTTATAAATAGCTTAATAGGTGAAAATTGCTATTAACACTCGTTTGGCAAAGATCCATAATACGTGTAGAGTACTCTTGCCCTGCACCATTTAGAGTTACCATACATAGTTGTAAATCGTGAATTTGTTATTCTGTACAGATATAAAAAATAAAAATCAAGAGGATAAATCAACCATAAGAGACCAGGAGTATGAGAATGAAATGCTTTTGGCGTTTTTGGCCATGCCCACTACCTCAATGCAGCATACGCAGCCATCTAGGTCAACTAGTGGGTGCGCCTGACAAGATAAACAATTTATAGCAGATAGTTATCTTGCACGTTTCATCGTGCGAGCATGAAAATAATGATTGAAAAATAAAGGAAAGTGACTTTATCAGGTAGACAAAGAGGCCATAAGGAAAAAGATTCGCCATTAATCTATTGGAGTATCGGGAAATAGTAGAGAATATGCCTATAGGAAATATAAGAAAATGCTCAGGTTCATCGATTACTCTTAATTCTACTTGTAGACAAAGGATTCTACTCCAAAGTGAACAGCAGTTTCGACCTACTCTATGCTTTATTAATTTCCCGAACGGAAGTCAAACCCTTGACGTGAGAGCCCAGAGGTAAAAAATGACTCATCAGCAATAGATACATCGATGACACCACTCCGGCGGATGTCAGACATCTGCTCATAAGTTGAACCCATCAAGTAAACTGTAAATAAGAGAGAAACCGACGTTGGCATGACGACGTTAAGCCCCGGGGACACCATTAGAGCCATCACAAGGTTTTACCATCAGAAGAAATTCAGTTATAGACTTGAAATCAAATCACAATAATGAAAAAAGGTTCATTATCCAATAGATAAGGTCCTTATTTTTTATTTAAAGGTAGGTTTTCGAGATTAGATCATATATTTGAGATGTATTAATCCTATTTTGCTTAGGGTGATAAAGGACTGAAAGTTGAATTTTTCCACAATGATATGAATAGGCATGATGATTCCATTAAATTTCACAGCCTTGCTTCCCAAAAGGTATTCTCATCCAGGCAGAAGTGGATTGCAGTTTCGGCCTCGCCTGAACTGGACTCATCATCACCCCCAGCGGAACTCGAACCCGATTTGTGGTAGTGCAGCGTATAATCTCAACACGTCAACTACCAAGCCGCATTTCCAGAAATGCCATTGGATCACAGGGCAGATGTGAATTTCAAGGAAAGCCAGTCATTTTCTACGATCACATTAAGTGGTGAAATTGTCGATGAAGCAAAATTAATTTGTTATAGAAATCGACTACATTCTTTATTTTTCGCATATAAGTAGTTTTTCTAGACAATACCAGTCGATTGGATATATGAGATGGCTCACCTTAGACTAAGTATGGTGAACACATATCATATTTCTGATGTATCGGTAGTCTATAAAATCTACTTATAAATGAAAAGTGAGTAATGTAGTCGATTGCTATAGCAAATATATTACTTTGCTTCAGCGACAATCCCAGCATAGGATGTGATATGGGAAAATACCTGACCTTACCTGAAATGCACGCCTGCTTTGTGATCCAGGGACACTTATGGAAGTCTGTCTTTGGAGGTAACGTGTCCAGATTATACACTGCCCTACCATAAGTCGGGTTCGACTCCCGCTGGGGTTAGGATGGGACCAGTTCAGGGGAAGTCTAAATTGCATTCGACTCCTGCCTGAAACAATATGTGAAATTTAATGAAAAAGTAGGACCTACTCATAGGATTGTAGGAAAATTTAAGTGCAATCCTTTATTACCATAAAAGAAAAAGGTTGAATACTTGTCATTTAAGATACTTACCTGGAAGTGAAGAAGGTCCGAATGAGGAGGCTGCCCCCAAGAGCCAATTGATTGCGGCCAAAGTAGCTGCCGGATCCGACTCTGCGGTCTCAGACACGGGAACCAACGAGCCCAGATGCCGCCGATGTAATTGCACCAGTCCGGCTAAAAAGGCATCCGGATTAACAGAGCCAGATGTGGCCAAGCCGGTGCGGGACAAAAGAGTGCCGATGGCAGCCAAATCGTTCACTTGACTAGGAGTGGAGATAGAAGATTGTGTGCAGTCATGTTGGTATGGCTGAGAGTTCAGAGAGGGTTGGGCTTGGGAGGCTTCATTTCGAATGCTTAAATTAGGTTCAGCAAACAGCTCATTAAGCTTCAAAGAAGATACGTGACTGCTGAACGGCTCAGAAGCACAGTCACTAATGCTGTTGACATTGTTATTTTTTGGTCTCAGTGAAGTTGGTGTGAAAACATTGTCTAGATGAGAGAAGGAGGATATTTTAGTATCACAAGGTCCCGAAGGAGAGATAATTTTTTGATCAAGCAGTTGGTAAATTGTGGCTAACTCTGGAGGGACAACACTGCCAATACAAAGAGAGGGCCCTCCGTCACGTTCAGATAACTCATTTGCCACAGAAAGCTTTGCCAAATCATACGAATGTGGATAGGGCCGCACAGTAGACGCATGGGCATGAGAGTGCCTAGGTGCAGAATGGGACATACACACCTCCCCAGTCGTCCGTAAGTCTAGTCGCTCATGGATTGGAGTTGGTATCGAGGTGACGCTGGCATCGGCAGAGGTGACCGGTGGGAAGGGTGGCAGTCGCCCGGATGGGCTGAAGGCTTTATCCTGTGCATTTGATATTAGGCCGGGAAAGGCTAGAGGACCATTGAGACCTGTATAAGTGGAGCCAAGAAGAGATATTAGAGTGAATTGTAGTTTGCTTATTCATTTAATTATTTATAAGAGATACTAAGTAAGCCAATCAATGGAAAGTTTGCACCTTATCAACTTATATGGACTTCTACTTCAAACATTATAATAACGGTACTTCTGAGTGAATTTTAAATGGCCATAGAGCACACATCTAAAGGGTTGGAAGCTGAGAAGCAAGAGAGAGAGTGAGAAGCATCTCAGCTATCATCTGGACATCGGCTCAAGATGATCTACAAGAGAAGCGGTTAGTGACACGTTTATACGCTACACTATCATGGTTCGAGTCCCGCTAGGGTGCTGATTATATCAGGCCAGGTCGAAACTGCAGTCCACACTTGCCAAGACGAGAATACTTTTTGGGAATTAAATGTAAACGTGAGGCCTATTCAGATGATTGTGGGAAAATTGAATTACAAGTCCTTCATCACCTTAAACGAAATAAGATGAATACATATCATAATAAATAGAAGGCACATGCTGGATATAGGCTTAGCTTGAAGCTAAAATTTGCCAAAACCCTCAGTAATTTCCTTCTAACTTTTGTAATGCTTGACTTAAAATTTGGCCCTCT